CCGTACAAAGTTTTCTACAAAATGTAAAAATAATCGTTATTTTAACTCCAGGTCACTGACGCGTAGAATAGCCTGCCAGGCCTCGTGAGTGGCGCAAGGATAACTTGTAGCGGTGTGAAACAATTTGAAACGATTTATAAGTGATTATCTTAAAACGTCAAACTACTGTTATCAACGGCAAAAATTATATTGCAAAAATTATATTTATTGGGTGATAGCAGAAAAACCATTCACATCCTAAATATAACAAAATCGTATGAACATAACAAAGCCTCAACTCCACAATAAGTAACATATCAAATGTACTATTGCTGCTGTTTATTCTATTTATTTCATTTCGCTTGAAAACAAACATAAAATATCTAAAAATGTTATCACTTTTCTTTTAACATGTTATCACTTTTGCTATATATTATCACAGTATTATTTATTTGTTCAGATTTTAGAAATGATATGTGTGAATATATATATATATCTCCACGACGAAACACTTTGGACACGAAGTGTCCAAAATCCGGTAGCTCATAGTTTGGTATATAGTTCGTCATGGTATTGCATAGGACCCCGTCGCAGAGCTATCAGCTCTCAGCTTAACTCTAAAGTCACAGACTTGCCCGAAAGAAGAAGCACAGAAGCTCTACTGGCTGAATCTGTAGTGATAGACCGAATGTGTCACTAAAGGTCAGAGCATTATACGAGACACCAAGAGAATTGTACAGAAAGATGAGACTATCAAGAACAATGATCATTATATGCCAATGTATAAAAAGATGATGAAGCTCTTGATCGCTGAGCTCCAGTGTGATCCACATTCTTCATAAGCTTCCCAATTTTATCATCAACTGTATACATAGTAAATATTTATATACAAATTTACAAGAATGTAGAGAATACATGATTGGGAGGTTCTCCTCATGAGTGTCTCACAAGATGAAGACGCAAATGAGCTTCTGAGGAAGGCCTAAAACATTGCAATCCACTTCAGGTCTACTTACTTCCTGTATCCTTTACATCACCACACTTCTTTTCAGATTTGATTTTCTGAGCTGTGGTAATTAATGATATCATCTTCTTCGTCATCTTGTATTTGATAACATTCTTTAGCACTCTTGATGTCATCCTCAGTAGATAATTTGCCTCTCTTTGTTAAGTGCTCAGCTTTCTTCTGTCCATCTCCTAACATTTTGAAAGACTTGGCTCAATGGAAAGTACCTTATAAGAGATACATCACCATCATGATCACCTGTATTGCTTGTATTGAAAATTTTAGTTGTTCTTTTTTTTTTTGCATTTAGGAAACTGATTTCCTTTACCAGTATCAGTATCTGGCAGCGGTAACAGAAGCTGTGGTTAAGCGAGAAGGAACGTTTGCTTTGAACTATCAAGAGGACTATTGTTATCCTCCCAAGCTTCCATTTCTGTGAAGTTGCTGCTATGATTGGTAATGGTAACTGAACCAGGAGGATCTTGGGGGCAATCTGAATTGCATTTCCATTCGATTCGGATAGTAATCCTCAACAAAACCAAGCCCAACAAGCTTGGAAACTCTCACACATCAAGCAAATGAAACAAACTAAGCATCCTCAAGGTTGTCATCAGGGGCGAAGCTAGGAATTCGATCTTGTGGGTGCACTATTAAATATAAAAGAAAAGAAGACGTGAGAAGGGTTTGAACCTGGATTATTGGGGGGTGCACAACCTTAGTTTTACCATCTGATTTACCAAATTCTTAATGATTTACTTCACAAACTTTGAATTATAAATATTATTAAGGGTGCACATGCACCCATATTGCATAAGGTGCCTTCGCCCCTGGTTGTCATCATCAATACTCACCCTCTCAGCTTCTTCAATGTAATACCAAGGTGGGTTCCATTTCCTTAACGGTTTAGCATAGGCCCACCGATTGCTATCACTTTAGCTTTTCGCTTAATGCGTTTCAATCTCTCCCATATCCACACTCGGACCAACTTATATATATGTATTGATTCTCATTAAAATAAAACTATCATGGCTTAGATGGAATTCTTGTGGTATATGTTTAAAAATTCTATATCGTATTACTTAGTTAAAAACTTCAAAAATTATAATTATGTTTACTTATAGCCAAATATTTATATACCTCAAAATATATTTGTTAAAAAATTATCTTTGTGGAAGTTCCAACCAGAAATTTACAGAAAACAGAAAATACATACATAAAGACCATTACATATATGTACTTAACATGCTACAAACGGTGCACAAAAAAAAAAGCATGCTCCAAACAGACACGCACACAAATTCAAGTTGTAACATTATATTACAAGTTAACAACCAAACTCTCAAGAGAGTAAAGTTTGAGCTGGTCTGCCACTCCCTCACTCACACCATATCTAAATAAACAAAGATTGTAACACAACTCCCACAACTTTGCCCGTAATATATCTAACTTCATACCTTAACTACGAAAATCCTGGCCGGAACACTGATCTTATTTATCGCCTTTGGTTTTGCTTTAAGCAAAAGACGGGTAACGGAAACGTTTAGCTGACTCTATAGTTGCGGGTACAACCGCTTGTTTTACAAGGACTGAATTATTTGGATATTGATAGACCAAAAAAGTTGCGTTTGTAGAAGATGTTATGGATTCTCTAACGGTATGAACTTGTGGACCGTGGTAGACGTATGAACTGTTATGGGTATTTGCAGAAGAGAGATTAGGGTTAGAAGTGGAAGTATTTGTGTTGAGCTTTTCTAACCCATCCTCTGAAGTCATCCTGAGCTTATCCTTTCGAGAAAATCCCATGGTGCGTAGTAGAAAGAGAGATGAAGAATGTGTTGAGTTTGTTGTCTTGTGTGGTTAGATGTAACCAATTTGGTGGCTTTTATAGAGAGAGCCCAGAGGGTAAATTTGTATTACGTGGAGGGGCAAATTTAACATAAAAGCTATCATAGTTTTAAGAGAATATTACATTGAGGGGGCACTAGTGTTCTTCTTGGTAACTACTTTGTCATAAATTTCATACAGTTTAATTGATGTATTGATGCATGTTAGTATTTTTGTTGTTCTATTGTGTTTCAACTTAGAATATTCAAGGATTTAATCAATCTATATACTACTTTTATTTTCGTTTTTCATTTTTTGCAAAGCTTATGACTTGAGTAGTAGATTGTTTTAGTTTGTTAGATTAGATTCACAGTTTTGCGAAGAAAAGAAGGGATTTATTGGATTTGATTAAATAATTTAATTGATTTAAAAATCCAAAGAAAAAAAAAGTTACTAGCTTGTGTCATAATAAAAAAAAAAACAGTTCTACCTGTATTTATTTGAATTTGAAATAACTTTTCAACTCTTTATATATGAACTTACGAGATTTCATATCCCAAATTATTGGTTATCTATAGAAGTTCACAAGTTTTAGAATCATAATAGAATACACGTTCGAAACAATTTAAGATCAATGAATAATACTAAGTACTTTAAATCTTGGTCTATATTCAAGTACATATCCATAAGTAATTATCATGTATTACTAAGATCAAGATGTAGAAAAAATCTTCAAAAAGCTTGGGAGAGAAGGGATAGGGAATCAGTTTTGGTAAAGCAACACTGCAAGAAAAAGAGAAAGGTCGGTTAGGATTTGGTATCCAATTTTATTCTCAATTATTTGTTCTCTTTTAGCATCCCATTCAACTCTATTATTATTCCCCTATATCTACAAACTCTATTCAACGCTACTATTATTCCTTCTTTGCTACGATAATATCTAGGATTACTCAGTTGTTGTGTAATATATGTATTTTCCCTGTTATTAAAGCTGTATGAAGAAGTTTCAACCTGGCATGCATAATATATTTTCGCACAAGATATATACAAATTTTCATTTAGATCATCTCTAATTTATTTTACTATTTTTCATTTAAAAATAAGAACTTTCTATCATAGATGAGATTTATTTTAATGTATTTTTTAAAATCGAAAACTATAGATATAAAGTAAAATATATAGGAATGATATTTCTTCTTTTATTTATAGAAGAAAATTAACAAAAGTTATTTTACAAAATAATAAATTAGTGTTAAAATGGTTGCAGCTTTAAATGCTATTATATAAACAAATATAGAAGTGGTCTGAAGATGCTCTTAGAATCTAGGCATATTATGTTATAGATATTTGAATCGATGTAAGCTTTTGTGTTGATAAAGTTTGAGAGGATATATTTATGATTTAAGTAAACTTTAAATGTTTGGCAAAAGGTAAAACCTTTTTTTGAGCTTTACGAAATATGAGTGAGATGAAGAAACTTAAAAAAAAAAATCATAATTCGAGAATTTTCCATAAACCATAAAATTAATGAAACCGTCTAATTTTTAAATGTTTGATGCCAAGAGTTTATATTACTTCATGTCTTAATATTCGTATAGACCCACTATAAATTCATAAACAAATAAAACAAAACCCGGATTCAGCGCGGATTCTAGACTGTTTTATCAATTAACAGAGAGTCTATAATTAAAATTAAGTTCAAACTAAAATAATCAATTACTACACGTAGATTAATATAGTGAATTTTAATCAATTACTACACGTAGATTAATATAGTGAATTTTATATGTATATTATTTCTTTCTTTTTTTTAGCTTAACCTTGCTTTTCTAGAATAGTTATCTAATATATAAGAACGAGCGCGGAGACAGGACAGGCAAACCGGACCATGAAGGAGATGCCCACTATTAGAGGAATAATGCCCTATACAATTTGGTTAGATTCGATTCCATGTACATAGAGTTGGTTACACGTATAGCTATTACACGTATAGCTTACACGTCACATTGGATAACCTCATAGAAAATGAGTGTTCTTATGCAAATTCAAGCGGATAATATCTACACAATATATTTCACTAGAAAACTAATCTAAGGCTTTTGTTAAAAGATTATGTTAGGTTCCATTAGTAACAGAGAAGCTTTTTAATTCTATATAAAGGCCGTTATCGTTCCTTCCCAAACCAAACTGAATCCAAAGAAACTAAGATAAAACATAGAAACAAAACACCTTCCATCTCTTTCATAGTCAAATGGCAATGGCTCAAAAGGATAGGAATACAAGGATGGCTCAAAGGGCTTTTGAAATGGTCGATAAGGTGTACGGTAGGTCCCAGAAACTAAACCCTCCAGTACTATATGTTCCTAGAGACGAGCCTGCTCCTCGATTTAACCAAAACTCTTATGAATATGGTGGACCAAAAGTTTATACCGTAAAAGAGGGAACTAATACTACTAGTTGCCGCCGAGTCATTTATCAGTATTCAAAGGAGTCAACCACAAAGGAACCGGTTGTTTCTCTCCCCACGGAACATATTCGATACTTCGGTGGTGTTCGTCCAAAAGGACGGGCTATTAGCTGCGACGAGGCTGTCCAACTCTATGGAGGGGTTCTTATAAAGGAGTATCGTAAATAAGCGGGAGGAAACTAAATTAATGGTTGATGGAGGGTAAGTTTGTAAAAAAGTGTTTATAGTAGTTATATCTTATTACGGAAAAGTGCAGACCAACACATCTGCTAAAGCTTGTTGTAATGGTTTTCACTTAGAATAAGCTTTAGATCACTACCTAGTGTTTGTGTCTGTTAAGTATCTATAAGTACTTCAAGTTGAAGCTTTATGTAATATAAAATCCTAGGGTGCTCCTTCTGATGATGATATATAATATATGCTTTCTTAATGCAATTATGTATTCTCTCTTTGTAAACACTAGGAAAGGAACCCGTGCGATATCGCACGGAAGCTCGTTTTGTAAAAATATCGTTTGAAAACTCATTTTGTAAGAATATGTAACATTGGATATTATACTGAATATATGTTTACTTATGTTGATATGATCTTTCTCATTTATAATATGACTTTGAATTTTGAAAGTTCTTATAAAACACCAACATTTATTATAACACAATAATTAAATAAAATCAACTAAATTCATAAATTATGGATTTACCTCATAATTATTAATAGATTTTATTAGATCTCTAAATACTTTTTAGGATAAGATGGTATTAAGATATAAATTCTCTAAAACTCCATCGGTTTCTCAATCAAAATTTTAAAATTTGGACTAAAATTCAAAAATAACAAATAGAATCATTTAACATTAATCTTTATGTTTATATTTGTTTCTTCAAACTTCTGTGAAAATCATTTAACATTACATTTCTCCATTTAACTCTATTTGCGATTGNTCATTTAACATTAATCTTTATGTTTATATTTGTTTCTTCAAACTTCTGTGAAAATCATTTAACATTACATTTCTCCATTTAACTCTATTTGCGATTGTTAATTTTTTGTTGTGATTTGTTAAAGTCCACAACTCCTTATATAGATGACTAAACATTGCAATGGTTGATAACCAAACATTGCAATGGTTAACACCAAAAATTACAATGATTTATCATCAATACTACAATTAGCAATAGTTGTGATGATTATCACTAAATATGTCACTGGTTGTTCAATACAAATTATATTCACAAATAGTTATGTTTCAATTAGTTTATTGCAACTGTTCCAACAAAAAATACAATGGTTTACTTAAACGGTTTCAAAAATTTCATTTGAATATCTATCAATCATGTACCACTTATGAAATGTTACTTTACATAACATTATAATCCTCAAAGTACAATCTAAACACCATATAATTATTTTAAAGATTATAATATTATAAAATAACTAAATATCAGAAAAACTAAGACAATTTTAGGTATTTTAAAAACTTATATAAAAATATATATGAAAATAAATGAAAAGCAAAATCTCTGAAAATATATGCATTTTAAGATAAAAATACATAGACATTGACAACCCTTTAAAATATATAAAATTTAGAGAATGAAAAGAAATATTTTAGATTTTTTTCATATATATATATATATATATATATATTACAACTCATTAAAAATTCGTACAGTTTTTAGGATTAAAATACCTATTATTATGAAAAACAATTAAAAAAAAAGAGTAGAGTAGTTTTAGACTTACATACCCAACGAATATCAGTTCATATTTTGCAGGTTTCCTTTTAAGCAGGTTCAATTTGGTTATACTATAGTGTTTTATATCTCCAAATAAATACTTGAAAAGTCTCCAGGTAGCATTCGGTTCTTTTTTGGTTATCTGAAACCCATCAAAATTTTTATAAACGTTGTTCAACTTGAAAAATGTTTATTTTATAAATGAAATGATGCAGTTAATACTGAATAAATAATGGAAATAGATTATTTAGAATATACACAAAATACTTTTTTCCAACAATACACAAAATATCAAGGGAAGACAACGTAAATTTAGACCAATAAACAAAGCCGGTTCGTAGATTCCGAGGGCCCTATTCAAAACTAAAAAATATGTAAAATAATTAATAGTTTCACAAATTTTACAACCATAATATAACAAATATTATCTGAAATTATTATAAATAAAAAATTAAATTTACTTATATCCTTAAAATGATTTTTTTTTGAAATTAGTAGTGATATTTTCATTTTATTATTAAATTTATCTTTATATAAATTTTAATAATGTGTGACACATTTAATATTTTATTATCCTACTGATTTTTAATTAATTTGTTTTCTATGTTCAGTATGTGCTATATATAATTACATTAATATACATATATATATATATATATATATATATATATATATATATATATATATATATATATATATATATATATATATATATATATATATATATATATATATATATATATATATATATATATATATATATATATATATATATATATATATAATGCAGTAGGGTCAAGTCCGGCTCTACCAATAAAACAAAAAATGGAAACTCAAACCAACAAGACAAAACAAAAACATTTGAATAGACAATAAAATAAAATAAATTTAGTTAATGCTTGGATATATAGAAGTTACATTGTTTTCGCTTATAATTAAAAGATTTTTTGGCAAAATACGCAAACCGCATACATACCGTTTTATAGGTCAATGATGTATGGCTAGAATCTGATTTTTAAAAATAAATGTAAGAATCATGAGCCCTTTGCATGGGTTAATGATGAATATGATTAGATTTGATTTATAAATGAATGTAAGAATTACGAGAAAATTCTAAGACACAAATCAACAGTCACTAAATATTTTCATTTTTTTCTTTTTTTTTTAATTTCCATGTGGCATATATATACACATGAAAGAACCAAAAGACACACTGCAAATAGTCACGTCTGTTCATGTGCACAAACACGTATAGTTTTAGTGTCGGTTTCTGCCGTAGTACAGTGAAAAGTCAGTCACCATTAAGAGTTGTGACTTTGGTGTTTAAAGTTAATGGTCTTAGTTATGACTTCATTCTTAAAAGAACACATTTTTTAATTATTTATTTGAAAGAACACATCCTTTCATTTTGACATAAAAAAAAACACATACCTCCATAATATGCATAGTTTTTAAAACAGAAAGAATGGGATGACTGAAGAATTATCGTTCTCAATTAATCAAAGACTGTAATCATTCTAAATAACACAATATTCATACGGGAAGACCATTAACTTTAAACACAAAAAATAGATCCAAAAGTTTCAGAAGATTTATCTTCATAAAGGAAGCTTCANATTAATCAAAGACTGTAATCATTCTAAATAACACAATATTCATACGGGAAGACCATTAACTTTAAACACAAAAAATAGATCCAAAAGTTTCAGAAGATTTATCTTCATAAAGGAAGCTTCAGTGATCGAGAATGTCAATGGGAACTGCAATGATCATCAATGGAGGATGATCGGGAGACAAAATTTGTTTTAATCAAACTATCGAATCAGAGATTAGGAATAGAAAAAAAAAAGTGAGAAAAAGAGGGATAGTAAATTAGTTATCAGATATAAACAGAGGAAGAGATGTGAACCAAGGGTCATAGCCCCATTAACGGACGCAATGGTTCACTACCGACACAAAGCTTCTGTTGGGAAGAACTAATAATATACTTTAAAAGATTGTCTTGTAAGAAGATGGCTGTTTTCGATGGTGTCTAGAAGATGAATTTATTATTAGTTAAGTTTGTAATTATAATGACCAGATAGTTTGTATTTGTCTTTTATGTTCTCTCAAATTTGGTATTTGAGCAATTTTTCCAGAAACATAAACTCTTCACTGGAGGCGATTGTACCCCGGTTTCTTCTTGTCAATAAAACAATGGACCATTAATCAGTCACAATTCCGATTATTGAATAAAAGGAGCAAACTGATTATCAAATATATACTGAGGAAGAGATGCGAATGAGGAGTCACAACTCCATTTACGAACGAACACAATGCTTCGCTACCTATACCAACACAAAGCTTCTATTTAAAACAAAAGATGACATCTTCTACAGAAAAATAACCCTTAGATTAAAATACCAAATCAATTTGAACCGTTAAGATCATCATTTTATTTTCCTATAAAAAATACTGATGTTTTGTTATTATATATATATAGATAATACTTATATGAAAAGTCACAACTTTCCAATATATAGAGTCATATTTTTTTCAATATATACAGTTATTTTTAAATAAAACACACAACTTTTAAAATAAAAAGACACAACTTTTAATTGTTGAAAATACATAACCTTTCAACTTCACAACTCTTGGAATTAATCATGATTGCTATTTTTAGAAATAAAAAATTATAAACAAAATTTAATGAAAAGACACAATCTTAAGAATTAATTATGAACATTTCATTTGAATATCTTCTAATAATTTGTATTTAGGTAACTTTACAGAATCTTTATTCTTCACCATTTTTTTAGATTGTGAAAATTTTAGTTTCAGAATTTGTAAACATACAATATATAGAGATTCAGAGAATTTTTTTGAAAGCTACATCTTTTCAAATTATAGTCAGTTTTTTAATGAATAGTCACAACTTTCTATTAATAAATCTTTTCAAATATATATATATATCCACATATATATTTATTGAATAGATACCTTCTTTTTTTAACACAGATACCCTCTTTCAAAATAACTAACTTGTTAACAGATACATTGTTTCAAAAAAATTAAAAAAATATTTTTTAAAAAAAATTAAAAACATTCTTTCAAATAAACTAATTTTAGAACATGTACATTATTTCAACGTAATTAAAAAAAAATTAAAATAAAAACATAACCTTTTAATTTAATGGAGATTCACAACCTTTTGAATTAATAAGGATTAATGAAAAAAACACAATTTTAATAAGAAACATAATTTTTAATAAAAATATACCTTAATGAACAAACACAACTTTTATCAAAGAAGAGACACAACCTTTGAGAAAAAGATACTTTATTGAACAAACACAACTTTTAACAAGAATTGAGATCCCTATAAAAATACACAACCTTTAAAATTAATTGGGATTCCTATTATTAATAGATAAATGACCAAATAAGTGGATAAAAAACACTACATGCATGTCATTTATAGCCAGTGTATATCCCATGCCCTAACAAACTTTAAGTTAATAATTTATTGAAAGGTTTCATTAAATATTTGCCCAAAAAAAAATTGAAAGGTTAAAATTATTTGGTATATAAAGAAAATTGTGATCCATCTTAAATTAAAAAAAAAAACATAATATATGATTTTGCTATGAAACATGTATCTTTTTGAAACATAAAATATATTAACATACACTATTAGAAAATAGTGGTATTGTTACGAAGTTTTTTTTTCACAGATACACTAAATGATTTGTTTTATAAACAAACACACTAGAAAATGGTTAGCTATAATAATGATCAAATGACAGATAACGAATGAAACATATTTTTGATTGTGTGAACATCCAAGAGCAACATAAACAAGAAACATTATGTACAAACAATTAAAAAGCATGATCAATCATAAATTTTGATCTATTAAAATTGAAAAAAAACACTCGCATGGAACGCATGGATGCGCATATCCAACTGAACAAGTACTATATTAAGAAGATTTCCGTCAGCATAAGTACCAGAAGAAAATGATTTTTTTTCGAACACATGAAACTATACTTGGTAGCAAAACACATACCCGAACATAACGACTTTTTATGATAAAATATTTTCTGAGAACACATATATTTTTCGTCTCATCTAATATAAGATATTACATAATTATTCTTCCTCTACTGACAATTCATATAATGGAGTCATCTTGTGAAAATATTTTTGCCGAAAACATTGTAAAGAACAAAGAGTGTCCACGCCCAGAGGAGAAGAACATTTCAACAAGTAGGGAAAGTGGCAGCGAGAATGACATACAGCACAAACTAGCCTGGTCATATGAATGTTGCGTATCACCTCCAATCTGATTGGCTCAGCATCGACTATTTGCTTTAGACAGATTAAGTCTCCGAGTGTACATTTGATATGAAATGTAATGCAACACTCATCACATATATAGAACCATTTCTCTGGATTTAGTTCTTCTTCGCAAATTTCACACCAGTATAGGCCACTCGGGTTTCTTCCGTAGCATAGAAACAGAAAATGATTCTTATCATATTTGTGTTTCACCTTATTTGGTAAGAAAGGACATGTAATGTCCAAAAAATATCCGCACTCATGACAGCTTAAAATGAAAGTTGCCTCATCTCCACAAGCCTTACAAGTTTTATTGCCCGTAAAGTCGATGTACAACGGATGATGAGGATGGCTTTCATGAACAAAAGGTTCGGATATAGAACCACATCGCACATCAAGGGTTGTATCATCCTTAGCTGCGTACCGAAAACCCTGAAAGAAGTATTGACAAACTTCACACAGCCCTAATATTGTTTCCGTTTTGTTGCATGGGAATAGAGTTATCTCCATCTTGTAGAAGGAATCTATTTTCTGTTTTGGGAGATAGGCACATTTCTCATGAAGAACAAAATTATCACACTCTGTGCAACTGTAGAATGGGCCACAAAATACAGGATAGACACATGCTTCGCAAACTATTCCTTCATTATCAGCATCAAGCTCTTCTTTGAGCTTCAAAACATGGCTTTGGTGACTTGAATGCCTTATTAGTCCTTCTTTAATAGACTCATATGACTTAAGCTCGATATCAGTTTCCGATACCCCTTCAAGTTCAATCCCATCCCAAATCCCGAACTTTGTGGCACATCTTAGATGAACTGCGAAATCATGACACTTCGGACAAGAATAAGCTCCACACGTCCATTTTAACTCTTTTTGACATACTCCACATTTCCAATCATCAGTATCAAGATAATGACTGTAATAAATACGGTGGTCATGATGATTAATCTTTATGATGCGTGGTTTATCAACACAATTTCTATGGATCATGAAATTGCATTGAGGACATACATAAGGATTTGGGTCGTCCTCCATTCCACAAGCATTACAAACAAAACTTCTTTGCGGCATAAGAATGACTGGATGCTCGTGAGCCTTAGGGTGGAGAATACTGAAAGGAGGTGGATCCTTTACACAGTTAACATCCACAGTGAAGTTGCATATTGAACAATGATAACACACGTTATGAAACTTGTTCCCACACAAGCAACATTTTCCACCGGTGTGTCTTGGAACAATCGTGAAACGCTTGAGGGGGTGTTGAGGATGACAAGGATAATTGATCTCTGATATGGATTCGGCACAATCTTGGTGAAAACTCAAATCACATAAATTACATACAAAAGGAAACCGGTCATCACATACTTGACATAGATGACAAGTAAAGCTAACCATCTCCGGAACAAGGGATAACTGATGCTCATGAACCTTTGAATCTTCAATCTCTATCTTAACTACTTTTTTTACACATATCAAATCGATTGCAAAATCACATTTAGAACAATAGTAATACATTTTTGGCAAATTAGTTCTACAAAGTTTACATTCTCCATGCAGAATACTGTTTTTTGCACATACCTTAATTTCCAAAGAATGCTGTGGATGATAGAGGTTGCAAATCTCTAGGCTAGAATTAGCACACTCTCTGTGAAAGAAGAGTCCGGAACGAAAACAACGATAACCATCACTATAGTAGTCTTCACCAAGATTGCAGCCGTCACATTTTAGCCCACGAGTTGGATATAGTGCATAATATTTCTTAAGTATTTCCATAGATGAGATAATATATGTTTTTACGTTAGCGTTTTCTAGAGTTTTCTTATATTTGGTTTCATGATTGATGAGGAGCTATCTTTATATATGCATACTTTATATATAATACTATGATATAATCACTGTTTTATATTATTCTTGTTTACATGAAAAGGATACTCAAAGAATTGTGCTTGTGTTAACTTTGATGATCCTGATGTGTAAGACGCAAAGAATAGTTTCCCATAACTTACCTATTTATTTCTAGTTTATCAAATAATATTAACATGTTAACCATTTTTTCAAAGAAAGGAATGTGAATCACATTCTTAAGAAGAATAAATTTACTTCTTCTTTTTTTTTTTGAAAAGAGAAGAATATATTTGCATTCAAGTTATTCTTTTTTTTATTTAACTAAGAGAGAATTTTGATTCCAAAATGGGTTTCTATATAATGTCTTTCTATGTTCAAAATTGGGTTTCTAAGAGAATTCCCATTGAAGGTTCTTGCTAGGGTATCTTAACAGAAAAATTAATATTAAAAACAAAAGCAAAGAAAAAGTGAGAAGTTTTGGTTAGAGTATCTGAAAGTAGAGCCCATGAGATACTCATAAGAAACTCCATGTCCAAATGCCTTTTTTTAGTGTTTTATTTAATTAATTTTTAACTATTTAATGAAAACTACATTGGTGTCTGAGATTCACATGTATAAATAAAAAATTTCTTTATTTTTAACCAAAAAATATTTTTATTAATAAAAGTTAAATAATTTTAATATAAAATAGAACATTTTTATGTCATTTGATTTTTTTTTCAAAATAATCAGAAATAATTACCTATAAAAAGCAATTTGTGTATCCAGATCGAAAAAAATGCTCCATGTTCGGGAAAACCATCCAGTACAGATGATCCATATTTGTGAAAAGTATTTATGTAGGGAAGATGTCTGGATCTGGATTCGATGGAATCCGTGAGAGTGTCCACATTTGTACCATCAAAGGGCACTCAAAAATTCATGGTTGATTGATTTCTCGCTTGCTCCACATCTTGCACACTGTATGTTGTTGTGAAAATCTCTCGCTCGCAAATTTTTCTTTGCCGAGATGCATCCTGAGACCAACTATCATAAGAAATGTTTTATTTTTGGCGGACACCGTATTTTCCAAAAAAAAAACTTTTAAAGGAAGAACAATGGGTCCATATTCTGGCAACATTTTTTTCTATGGCGGAATATACTCATTCCACTTGATAACTAGATTTCACCGTATATTTTCCATTATTAGTGAAGTGGCATCCATCTTTATCAATCATCTGATTCTTACTCAGTGGTATACTTTCGATGATCTGTGCATCATGTGGTCCACCAGTGTCCAATTTTCTTGGGCTATGTTCGTGATGTTGTATTGATGAGATAGTTCGCTGTAAGATCCGAGTAAAGGTTGTGTTGATTTATGTTTGCTGGTCTCAGACGAATGGTTGAGAGTTAAGGATCTATCTACCCAAATAGATGATCTTGGTTCCATCTTTTTTATTAGTCATTTGCTAACCTGATATCTAGCAGAGACTATACTACACCATCCATATGAGGGTGAGTATGATCTAATCGATTCCAAGGGTGTTAGGTTTCTCGATTAAATGCCAAAGTTATTTTTCCAGTATAGCTGTATTAAAGTCCGTGAGGTCTTCAAATACTAGTACTCCTTCATACTTGTGTTGATATAATTTATCCCATGATTTTCAATACATGGTTCTTGTATTGTTCTTTGAAATCCACCAAAATTGTGCTGCCGTACTCGTCAATTTATTTGTTACGGTTTTTGGTAAACAATAATAAGATATTACATGATTCCGAAGTACCCTATATTCTGAATTCCTAAAATATTCCAGGGCTCTTGGCGTCTAGGTTCCTCAATCTATGTCTGGATTGAATTGAATTTCTATTTGATCTAATCTATGATTTGAGTTTGTATACTCTACGCGAAAAAATAATAATTAAACATATATTACAAACATAGCTAATCTTATGTTTCCTTCTCATTATTTTAGTTTATCCAACATAAATACCAAAATCTATACTATTATTTGCGAAGTGATTTTTCGCTTCGGAGCTCCCACGTTAAAAGTTAAAGCGGTTAATATCGTTTATACCCTTAATGAATAAACTTTATAAATTAGCTAAACAATAAAAACGAATTTAAATTACTTTGTTTAGATAATTAACTAAAATTAATAATAATCATAAGAATTATTCAAAATCAAAATAATATATTTTTAAATAAGATAATTCAATATTATTGTGATGTTTTCTGCAAATATATTTTGATAAAACAAAAACAAATTTAATATTATTTGATTAGATAAATGATTTAAATTAATAATAATGATAAGAGTTATCCCTAATCTAAATATATATTTAAAAATAAAAAGATAATTTCTATATATATTGTGTTGTTATCCGGAAAATATATTTTAATAAAAATTTCAAAAACAGAAAAATACATAAATAAATATTCATAAAGCAAAATTTTTAATTGTATATAATTAAAAAGAGAAAATTAAAAAAAATTATAATACGTAATTATTTTCAAGCTCCCAGGTTAAAAATTAAAGCGGTTAATATCGTTTATACCCTTAATGAATAAACTTTATAAATTAGCTAAAAATAAAAACGAATTTAAATTAATTTGATTAGATAATTATCTAAAATTAATAATAATCATAAGAATTATCCAAAATCAAAATAATATATTTTTAAATAAGATAATTCAATATTATTGTGATGTTATCTGAAAATATATTTTGATAAAACAAAAACAAATTTAATATTATTTGATTAGATAAATGATTTAAATTAATAAAAATGATAAGAGTTATCCATAATCTAAATATATATTTAAAAATAAAAAGATAATTCCTATATATATTGTGTTGTTATCCGGAAAATATATTTTAATAAAAATTTCAAAAACAGAAAAATACATAAATAAATATTCATAAAGCAAAATTTTTAATTGTATATAATTAAAAAGAGAAAATTGAACAATTTATAATACGTAATTATTTTCAAATTAAAAAATATAATAATATAATATAATGATATATATTTCTGAAGTTATAATATGATGTATAGTTAAACCTTAAACATGAATTAATCATAAAAAAATAAAAGATCATTCAAAAAGAAAGAAAAAAAAAGAAAATACGTGTTTGAAAAAATTAAATTTAAATATATTGTATTACTATCCAAACTAATATTATTCTTTCTGTAAAATTAATTTTGAATGTATATATATCGATTTAATTTTTGAAACTGAAAGATAGATTTCTATATTTTTTATCAATTAAGATGAAATGAAATAAACTTTAGATTTTTCAAAGTTTTAAAGGAAAAAATAGATTTTTTTTTATTTGTGAATAACTTTATCATGTAAAAAAGTTTAACGATTTAGGTCAAAAATTTTAGATGCAAATAATAATTTATTTTGATGATTTTGAAATTGACTCAAAAATAGTTAAGCCCGCATGTGCGGGCAAAACACCTAGTAAGTGTATATATAAAAATACTGACAATCATATATAGACAGTGTATAAAACAAACATGAAGCAAAAGGTCGTACAAATACTTCTTGTGCCGTTTATCATATCTCGTACAAATACTTCTCAAACAGTTTCATGTGTTCAGTTTGGAGAGAAATGACCAAGGATAAGTTGCCATCATTTGTAGGACTTGGTAGTACAAACGACAAACCCTCGAATGCAATTACACTAGGTCCCATAAATATGGGACGTCCCCAACCAAAGTCTGCATCGTAAATGGGTAATCTGACCCAGCTTGTGATTCCCAAATTTGGACAACCGTAGGTATGTGCACCACGGACTAGGGCTGACAGATCAGGCTGCATCTCCAGGTAGTCGAGAGCGGACCTCAGATACTCATCGTCCATGCGAGCCAAAACATCATGGATCAGTCCAGCAACATGCCATGTTGGCTTTGATAAAAGATCCCCAGCAACGGCCAATGGTGTGGCAGTAAATATGACGTTGCCAAAGTAACCAGGGGGCAGCTGCGGGCGCAGTCTTGACCTTCCATCGGTAGCAATGTACAGTTTGGTCACTTGATCCTCTGGAAACCCGCGAGCCTTCGTGACTGATCTCCACACATGACATGCCAAGGTCTCGTACGAGCTGTAGCTTACTGTGTTGCCATCCTCCTTGGCTTTAGCCTTGAGAGAAGCAAGCATGTCGCGGGATAATTTGAAGATGGAGACGGTGGTATTGTCTGGATGCAGAGGGATATTCATGGAGGGAGAAGGTTGGTATTCAACATGATGGAAAGCTGGGTGAGGCGGTTCTCTAGCGCGGAGGAGGGTACGATCAATGAAAGGAGGAAGGGTAAGGTCAAGACCGCGAGCCATATCAGACCAGGAATTGATGAAATGGATACCAGAGAAACCATCGCCGACATGGTGTTGAATGCCAACACCAAGAGAAGCTCCACCACATTTAAAAAAGGTCACCTACAAGCAGGGGACGTGAAAATAGTTAAAAGATAATTACTGGAAGTGAGTTTTTTGTTTTGTTTTTTGCTCTGTGCGTATTTCTTCTGTAACTAAAGTATCTCACATCGGAAATTCAGTGAGACCTTAAATATTATATAAAATACTTGACCAGTCCAATTATCACCAATTTGTTTTAAACTTGAAGTTTATAATAAATTTGAATCTAAGAAAAAAAGATGTAGGCTTAATAAGAGAGAAATAAATCGAGACTAAACCTCATAACAAAAAAAAAACATATAAAAGGAAAGTTGACCTGCAAAACGAGAAGCGGGAAGGTATGAATGCCAGGAGAGTAATCAACATGAGGAACAAGCTGGCTGAGATTGAGGGAGGGAGCAAAGTCTCCTAAATCATCGATGACAGAGGGAGTATCGGCGACTACGAAGAGAGCACCAGCGGCGTTGCAGTCGATCTCGATACGACCATTGTCGTCCCTCCTTAAGCTGCCAGCCAAGGGGTAGAAAGGGACCAAGGCCTTGGCGAGGGCTTCTTTCAAGACCCGAGGGTCGAAGAAATTGGAGGAACCGTTGGGTCTGTAGAAGTAGACGGTGGAACTGTGGTACCTGGCGATGATGAGGTCGACGTTGGAGTTCCATAGGTAAGTGGTGGGGGTCTCAGCGGCCGGGCGGACCATGGTGGAGTTGCGGACGTTAATTTTCATAGTTTTGGTTAATGATTTTGAATACAATACAACACATATATAGAGAATATGAATAAATAAGTGTGTGAATACTTTCTGATGGCGTTATATTCCTTCACCTGCCTCTCTTTTTCCATTTGTCTCACCAACTCTCTGTTATGCCATCTTCATCATTTGCTTGTCTCGTTTCATGGCAGTCTTAAAAAAATCAATAGCCTTAGGTGAAAATGGACTTCTTAACAAACATTTTCTTCAACTTTTCTTCATTTCATTTCTTTAAATTGAACCAAAAGAATCTTTATGACCTAGAACAAATAAAAAAAGAGGTATCAAGTCTTTAAATATGAAAAAGCAATCGCATGTAATTTTTTCCACTAGCTTTAGTTGATATGGAAAACATCGATATTTAATTCATATTTTCCAAGACTTATTTGTCAATGCATAAAATTACTAAACCTTCAAACTTTCTTCAGACATTGGTGATTTCAGATTATTTTTCATCAGTTTTAGCTTAAGCTTATACAATTTTCACATTTGTGGTGTCTTTATATATATCCCCTATATATTAATTGAGAAACATTTGAAAAGATGTAACCTCAAGTTTGTATTAATTAAAAAGTAATCTTGCTTAGTTGTCAATCAATTAGCATATCAATTAAACTGACGTGGCGGCTTTAGGTTCAATTGAAATTTGCTAGGAAAAAATAATTAGAGACGCATATAACGCATGTAACATAGTTTATATATTTATATATATCGCACACATGTAATGGAAGAAAAGGAAAATATACGATTTGATAACGATTTGCATATATTAACTATAATAACTTCATTCCTTTTAATTTATGGAAGTGTATATGTAAAATAGAAAATATTTAAATTCAAATAATCATAACGTAATTTATAAATCATTGGTGTAAAGTTTTGTTACACAAATATGCAAATAATCATAAAATCATATGAGTAGAAACCTCATTTAATAAATATCCATATTAAAAGTGTGCTATATTACTATGTTTATATCATTCAAATTTAATTATATATCATATACAATATATAAGATTGATTATTTTGATTTATTTACCCTAATTGTGAATAAACAAGAGTAATAGTTAAATTTTATATGCATACGCCAATTTGTTACATAATAGTAATTGATTTCTTAGTTATTTAATATATATATATTTATTCTTTTATTATTTATAATATGCAGAAAAATATAAAATAAATAATAAATATAAAATACTTATTGTGCATAAAGTGCAGATCTTAACCTAAGTATTTATCTGTTTAATTATTTTAAAACTTAAATATTTT